ACTCACCCCTTTTGCCCCTCATATTCCCCTTCCCTTCAATTACCATGTTCTCTATGAGCCCTCATGCCAATCCTCACGCTCAAACCTGCAACAAATGGCATCATCAATCTTCTTGATCGAACTGCGTCTTACCGGTGTCTACCTCACATCCCTTACCAGCAACCATCAATGCGTTGTATCCTCCTGCTCTCAACGACATTGGCAATCAAAAAATTGATACCTATGTTGGTCCCGACACCACTTTCAAACAACAAGACAAGAAGCCCAGGTCATAGCACCATTGCTTGTTCCAAAACCCAATGACTCAGTTCACACATGATCATTCTCTACATCTAAGGACCAAAATCCAAATCATCAACTCAGTCACTGCAGGATCTATCTCTCCAAAGCCAAATACCAAAAGTCAAATCTTCCACATATCTATTGCAGGCTCGGCTGGTATTGCAGGATGCACACAAAGTTGACAAAACTGGGCTGTCTAGGATTCATACATCTGCGCAGCAGGTTAGACGTGGGGCCTGCTTCTTTTTATACATTTGAGCTTTTTTGGTAAATTATTGCATGTATCATACCTCCATAGCATTCTTGTTCTCTCGGACCACTTCGTATAAAGCGAATCAATGAGGGACTTCTATGGTCATCTTTCAATTTCATTCATCTTAGTGACGTAGTCTTCCAAGCGACTGACCAATGTCGACCGACTTCTAACTAGCTCCGATGTTATCTGTAGGCCTTTGTTTCATTATGGCACTGTGTACTGTACGAAGTGGCACGGCCTCTTATTTTAGCTTTTAAGCTTTATATACTTCATCAGTGCCTCAGGCGCCACGCTAGTGACGTCAATCCCATCCCATTAAATGTTTCAGCACAACTTCAGCCGAATTCTAAATAAGATGAGAGCCATCCCTGCATAAATGTGCCTCTATAAAATTGCATTTTTGGTTTTCCTCACTGCTTGCCTCGAGACCAATGTTTGTCTTAAAGCATCGACGCTAGCAAAAGAATGAGCACGCTCCTTGAAAGACCCTTCTCGCGTGTATGATGACTGCATATTATAGATCTATCAAAGACTCATTTTTCTGAAATAATCAACGACCATGATCGCAGAGCCGAACTATTCTTCAAGGGACAAGACTGAACACGTCTCGATCTTCTCATCCCAACCACCCATCTTCATTTTGCCAATGCATCTCTCCCTGGAAGAGCTGGACGAGGTTGAAGGCCGGTTGATAGACTATGGTGGGAGATTGACCTATGACATTACCGAAGCTGGCCTCGTTCTGGGGAAAGTCGGGCGCGCGAAGCGTGCAGCGCTAGAACTGCGCACCCGCGGTGTCTGGACAGAGGAGCTCATACTCAGCTCAGCTTCGAAATCAATTAGTGGTGCCGAGCCCCCTCCCAAGCGCAGGCGCACAGATCAGTACGATGGGACCAAAGATGTCCCGGTTGAAATTATAGATCTCGGTACTGAGTCTGAAGGCGAGGACGGAACTACAAATCGACACGACTCTTCAGAGCCCCCAATTCCAGAGGGAGAGGCGAAGGCAATCAAAAATTCAATCACAGTCCTGAAGCTCGAGTGGCTGGACGCCTCTATCACATCCGGCGAATGCGTGTCTCAGGACCCATTCGTTGTCTACCGTGGGCGAAAGATCCCTTCTCCTCCTCCTACGACAGGGCCAGAAAATAAGCAAGATGTCCTTCTACAAAAATCAAACCAAATCATCCAGCGTGCAAAGCAGGATGCTGGTCTACCAACACCACGAACTCCCCCTCCGGATTACATCCACGCACGGCGCTCAAAGGAATCTCCCGACGGGTCTTCCCAGCGCCCCCGACCAACGCTGTATAGGCAGACGACCTCCGAACACGAAAAAGAGGCGGAAGAAGCACCCCCACAACCAGACTGGGTCCGGGACCATGTCGTATACGCATGTCTACGCTCAGCACCTCTACACCCTCCGAACGAAGACTTTATCTCGCAACTTGTGAAAATCAGACGAATCCGCGAACTCACCCTCGATGAGATCGGCGTGCGTGCATATAGCACCTCCATCGCAGCACTGGCAGCATATCCCCATCCCATCCAGCGGCCGAGCGAGGTCCTCACTTTACCAGGGTGCAACGCCAAGATAGCAGACTTGTTCTTCCAGTTCCAGCAGCACGGTGGCTGCGAGCATACCGACGACGACGGGAACGTTGCCGCTGCCGAAGCGCTGGAGACGGATCCCATGCTCCGTGTTCTGAACTCGTTCTACCAGATCTGGGGTGTTGGCGCGAAGACAGCGCGCGACTTCTACCAGCGTGGGTGGCGGGATCTTGATGATATTGTCGAGCATGGGTGGGATACGCTCTCGCGCGTGCAGCAGATTGGAGTGAAATTCTACGAGGAGTTCCAGGAGGGTGTTCCCCGTGGTGAGAGCGAGGGGATTGCTACCGTGATTCGAGATCATGCTGGTCGGGTTCGGGGGGAAGATGGAAATGGGATTGAGTGTGTGATTGTTGGTGGATATCGTCGTGGGAAGGAACTCAGTGGTGATGTTGATATTGTGGTGAGTCACCGTGATGATGCGGTGACTCGGAATCTGGTTGTTGATGTTGTTGCGAGTCTTGAGGCGGAACGTTATATCACTCATACGCTCGCATTGCATTTGACTTCTTCGCTGCGTGAGCAGCAGACGTTGCCTTTTAATGGTGACGATACAAGGAAATTCGATACTTTGGATAAGGCATTGGTGGTTTGGCAAGATCCGCATTTCGACGCTACAACCGTTGGACATAATGAGCATCAGGAGAAAAAGAAAAATCCAAATATCCATCGTCGTGTCGATATCATTATATCGCCTTGGCGAACGGTCGGCTGTGCGGTACTCGGCTGGTCTGGTGATATGACATTTGAACGAGATCTACGGCGGTATGCGAAGAAGGCTCGCTCATTGAAGTTTGATTCGAGTGGTGTCAGAGACCGAACTAGTGGAAGACAGGTTGACCTGGAACGTGATGGAGACACCTGGGAGGAGAGGGAGAAACTTGTGATGGAGGGACTGGGGGTAGGCTGGAGACCGCCAGAGGAACGGTGCTCGAGATAGGAGGTGATCAGGTCTTGGGAGAAAGTGGCATATTCTGGATATATGGACTGCCCAAGAAGATATTCTACTCGGTAAGTTAACGACGCATATATGCTCTCTTGTCGAATTTTATTAACACCGATTCTCTTAGAAAAAAAGTCATAATTAATCAAAGTTCTATATCAAAGTCATACCGACTGGAGTACACGACTGCTGTCAAGACTGGCGTATGTCAGAAATCACCTTACGGGTTGGGATATTGGTGACTTGATAGGGGAAGCAGAAAAGGGTCCAAATGGGGTTCAGACACTATACATCTAAGACACTTACCAGCACACCAGCTACCAGTACACATATGTAATTTATAGTATCAAATAAATTGGAAACAGAATGTTACTGAATCATGTCATGTTCAAGTTCCGCAAGACTCAGCTACAACCACATCAGGTAAACAAGAGAAAAAAGTAATATGTCACAGCCTCCATACCAATCGCATGGCTAAAGGACGAGAGAAAAAGGAAACGAGCATAAGGTACACAAAGATACAAATCTACCAACCTTTGCCCAGGTGGTATGGATGCATACGAAGGAAAAGAAGAGCACAACAAACCGCCACTGCAAATGCAGAATGCATAATCAGCCCACAGCGAATCAATCATCACGCCATAGGCCTAGAGCTAGCCATCTCACCATACCGCCCACGACTCCGGGTAGTATCGTAAGCATTGAGAACACGCATTTGGCCGCCATCGTCGGCTTGGGAGAAGGCGTATCCGCGCTGCTTGCGCATGCGCTGGACCTGGCGAACCTTCCGGATGGCTTTTTGGAACTGCTCCATGCGTGGACGATAATCCTGCACATTGTATTTCTGGATTTCCTGGACGTGGTGGTATTGTTGTGGGTAGTACATGCGCTTGGCGTACTTCCAGGCATAATCACGTAGGAGGCATATACAGGGTAGGACGATGGCCATCAGGTAGAAGATGGGGGACTTGAAGAGCACGGGGATGGTGCCGTAGTATTCACGCGAGAAGCCCAAAGCCGGGGCGGCGAAACCATATGCCGGGAGGAAGATGAGCCACAGTGCCATTGATCCTGGGATAGCAATGAAGGTGTACTTGGTCCAGACGTTGGTGATCAGAGCGGCTTTGCCGAGAACGGTACCTAGCACGGCGGTGTACAGAGCTTCACCCCAGACCCAGTGGCCGGCGACCTGGCCGTCTGCCATAGGAAGGTCCCAGTAGAAGAGCAACTCGGAGACAATGTATAGGATGAGAGAGTGGAAGAATCCATTCAGAATCCAAGCCCAAAAGCTGTGCCTCTTGAAGAAGACGCCACTCTGGCCCAGCTGGTACAGCTGTGGGTAGCGGTCGAGCAATCGGGCGGAGATGAACTGGTCAAAGATTCCCATCGCGAATGGAGGTAGGACAGTGAAGAGCACATTGTAGAAGGAGAGCGTCCAAGATTCGTAAATAACCTCTCCAGAGAATGCGTTTTGGAAAGAATACTGGAACAAGTCAGATACCACTCCGAATAATCCATCAAAGTCAAACTTACCCAGAATTGAGTCATGTACAGCGTAATGTTCTTATAGTATGAGTATAGAATGACTCGACTGATGCGAGAATAGCTCCACGCTCCGTGAACCAAAAGCAACTTTCGAAGGAACCTGAACTGGCCAATTGCGACATCAGCAGATCGTGCGGCTTGAAGACCTTCGACGCCGCTGATTCCGACTCCGACATGAGCGGCTTGAATCATGGAGACATCATTGGCACCGTCCCCAATGGCCAAGAGTAGAGCCTTCTTATGGCGCTTGACAAGCTTGACAACCAAAGCCTTTTGAAGGGGAGAGACGCGACTAAAGAACATGTTAGAACCAAAAAAAATAAACCCTCCAAAGTCCAATGGCACTTACCAGCAAACAACAGCTTTGCAAATGACAGCCAGATCCAAGAACAGCTTCTCCATATCTTTCTCCAAAGCAAAAGTCAACGACCGGCCGTCAATTACCAAAGCCAAAGGTTCGGAGTCCCCGGAGGATATTTGGCTCTGAACGGCGTCCATCTTCTTTTGCAGGCTGTCACGAGTGGCTTCTGACGTCTCCTCGTTGATGATAAGAAGCGTCATGTCTTCCGATATGAGTTTGCAGGACATGCCGATGTTGATTGCAGTCTCCTGTCGGTCACCAGTCAAGACCCAAATCTTGATGCCTGCAGTCTGGAGGGTGTGGATAGTATCCGGAACACCATCCTGCAAGCGATCCTCAATAGCGGTGGCGCCAAGAAGGTAGAAATCCTTTTCAATCAGCTCGGCCGCTTTGTCCAGTTCATCCGCACGATTGCCGTCAACAGTGGTCGAAGCCTTGTCATAGATCTGGTGCCATTGCTGGAACTCGTTTTCTGGGACTTCCCGCATAGCCAGACACAACGTCCGTAGACCATCCGAGGCATACTCCTCCAGGTGCTGGAGAGTTGCTTCCACGGTAGGGTTATCGGGATGCAACCGCTCAAGAATGACCGTGTCAGCACCCTTACAGTAGACGCGGACCTTTCCATCAGGACACCGGAAGATAGTGGACATTCGTTTTCTAGTGGAGTTGAACTCGCAGACTGCTAGCAGTTCGTATTCAAGCTCCTGCCCTCCAACTTCAAAGATCACCGATCTCGGTCTTCGGTTGGTGAATCGGAAACCCAGCGAAGCGGCTCCGTCCACCAAGGCTCCCTCGTCGGGCGATGCTGCTTGGTACTTGATCACATTTGGGTCATCACTATTTCGCTCAGGAATAACAGTGTGACAGGTGGCAAGGAGAGTGAGGAATTCGCGAATAGCGTTCTGGCTTGGGTGTGATTCAAGGTTCTTTTTGAGTGTTTTGAAGTCATGAATACCAATTTCAGCGCCATCCTCCACGGTAGCACGTCGATCTTCGGGAACATCGTCGCCATATTGGATACCAGCGATGCTAACTTGCTTAAACTCCATCATGTTGCAGGTAAGAGTGCCTGTTTTATCGGAGAAGATGTACTCGATTTGACCAAGCTCCTCGACAAGCGAAGATGTGCGGCAGATGGCAGGGGTATCAGTTTTGTCATAGTAAATGTCGAGGTCGGAGTTGATGAGGAAGGCCTGGAAGTATTTGACGATTTCGATGGTGACGAAGAGGGAGATAGGAACCAAATTCGAATAGAGCACCCAGTACGTGAAGATGTCCATAAAGAACTGCTTTACCATTTTGACCGACGACCCATAGTCGAGGTATGCAAGCGTTGAAGATCTAGTTTTCCGAATAGCGAGATCACCGACAGAACTGATGACACTCAAAACGATGAGAATGCTGACAAGCATCAAAATCTGAATGTTGACTGTTCGTTCCACAGCTGTTCGCTTGATCGGGGTTGCTGTCGCATTTCGCATCAGTTTTGTTTCGTGACCACTAAAAACCACAATTCCATGGATCCAGGGAGTGTTGCGCAGCGTTGCACCACGAAGTAGGAGTTGATCCGGAGCCAAAGGCAACTCTTTCTCGCCACCTCCAGCATTCATAGTCAAGGTGGCTTCGTAAGTATACAGACTGCTATTTGGCTGTTCTGATCGAACGCGTCCACTCAGACGACTCAGATCACTGGGGCTGACCAGATGCGCAGTCTCTGGAATGGCTTGTTTGACTTTAAGATTGGTCTCGCCATCCAAGTTTGCCGTCTCAATGTAGCATAGACCTTCAGGCTCAGATGATGCCAGTAGTACCAGGTCAGCTGGAAAAGGCTGCTCGGACTCAACCCGAACTATATCCCCGACCACAACATCCACCCATTTTGCTTCGTGGAACGAAGAGCCCTTAAGAACTTGGGTTTTTGAGTAATTCAGTCCTCTGTCCGACATTCTCCGTTTGTAGTCTTCTACCAATTCTTTGATCGCGGACACAGCCAAGACGATAGCCAGTGGAACGATAGTTGTATACCTATTCGTCGGCGACACGTTTGGGATTTGTTGCAGGACAGCGGTAAACAAGAAGAACAGATTGGCGTATTTAGAGAATTGCTCGAAGAGGAATTTGGGAATAAAGGTAAAGATGTTGTACTTGGCCGTCGATACGAAGTTGCTGACGAACTTGTGGGTGGCATTGGCGGGCGGGTTGTTGAGTTGAATCATGCGCGGGCCCAGTGTCGAGGGATCAACCTTGCGTGAAAAGATATTAAGGTCAGACGCGCGGAACTTCTTGCGTTGCTTCGGGGGCGGCGGCGGAGAAGCATCGCTACCGACTGTCGCCCTTCTTGCACCCGATTCAGTCAACGGAAGATCCATTTCCGAATATTGCGATGACCCCATGCCAAACATGTATTTCGCCTTTCCCATAAATCCCCCCCCGAGTCCGAGGACGCTATTACGCTCATTTGCCTTGCGGACGTGATGTGAACTGGCAATTCGGTCTTCATCCGCGTCAAGATCATAATAACCTGAATGCCCATCGTCGAAGTCATCCAGAGAATACCGCCGATAATTGTCCAGTCCAGAAGTCTGGGAGTAGCTTCGATCTCGCATGCCGCTGGAGTAGGGGTCGTTTGAATGCAGACCGGTGTTGACAGGTGGATGCGCCGGTCCTGAGACGACATTGTGCTGCGCTGCGCCTTGCTGCGCGCTAGATCCAACAAAGTTATCGTAGGAGACAGAAGGGCGCGGTTGTGTTTGGGCGTACGGTTGTTCGGAGTCGTCAATGTTGTAGCGTTCTAATAGGTGTTCGTCATTCACAGGGGGGCCTTGACCGGTGCTATACATAGGTTCTGAATCCAGCAGCAGGTCGTCATCGCGGCCAGCGGCTGGATGCGACCCAGGAGGCCTACCGCTGGCCATGATGCCGCGGGGAAGCTGACAGCCTCACTGTTGTAGTGCAGTAACAATGCCCCTGAGGCATTAATCGGAAGGCCACGTCGACAGAAAGTGCTCTGCTATATCTGTCAGAAGCAGGGACGAGTGGAAATGAGGTATGGCGAACAAATGACAGGTTTGACGGGACTTGGACAGGAAAAATGTGGGAATAAAGTGAGAATGAAGTCCAAGGGTGGCTTAGCGGGCGAAGGCAGCAATTAAGCTATGTTGATTTGATGCGCGGGTAGGCGGTAAAGCGCTTCACAACAATCAAAGAGATCGAATATTCGGAATGATATTTTGAGCATTATTAGTAGAGGGATTTATAGTTTTATAAACACTTTACTATTTTCTGTACCTTTCTGTACTACTGTCAAAATGCACTTCTATTCGTTGGCCTCCGGTCTACAAGCTAATAATAGGGGTCTCTTGGCAGCCGGAAATATATTAACTGCTTTGCCTGTACTTCGTATGGAGTGCAAATGTATACAATTTACGATTCAACACTTGGTCCCACTTTAGAGATAAAGATACATGTATTCAGATTGGAGAAGAAAAAAAGATACAATATGTACTTCGATTGATTTCCCATGAAATCTGCACCTAGTTCACATTTACAACATAGGAAGAGAGGTCAAGTCCATTCATCTACCTATCATGTGGCAGCCAAATATCATTGATGTAAACGCCATGCGAAACTCCAGTCCCCCAATCATGAAAGTAATGGTAGTACATGCTGCTTATTCGATTTGAACCAACCGGTCATTTTCTGCCCGAGACTCATCAGCCATACCAATCTTTGCCCGCTTAGCCAGGTCGGCCTGCAGGACCTTCTCGACAGCAGCATTGATCTGTTTGACTTTTTCCCATGCCACATTTGTCTTGTTCACAATCGCCATAGCGTCTGCGGGTGCACCTGCGTACTTCGAGAGGTAGCAGACATCGCCTGCGCTATTAATGCCAATGACAATATCGCCCTCAGCAGCCTGCTCCTCCTTGAGGGTGGCATCAACAATGACATGTTTGCTTTCATTGAAGGTGTGGAATGTAACTGAGAGAGGCTTGTGCGTGATGTTAAGTGCGACAGGTACACGCTGCTCCACGCCGTAGACTATGACACGTCCTTCTCTCACCACAGCATCCGGCCGGCGGAAGTGTTGCAGTCCAGCCATGATCGCAATGCAGGCCGCATCGGTGATGTTTCCATCGTAGTCGATAATGTGCACATCGGCCCGAATCGACCAGCAGCTCACACCTTTCAGAATACACAAGGATTCAGTATCGAGGGCGTTAGAATGGCGGATGATACGGTCAAGGGTGTTGGTGGCGTATGCCTCGATGTCGTTGGGTCTGTAGAGGTAATTGTAAGTACCAATCAGTGTATAATAAAAAAGCTGGGTGGTATGTACCGTCCGTTTTCCCAAGCCGGTGAACCCATTGCAGTCAGCTCCAGGTTGATGTTGAAAAGACCATCGAAAGGTCGGTCTTCACGCGGTTTAGTAACCTCAGCGGATATGCGAACAATAACGCTAGAGAGCCAGTTAATGATTGTGATTTGCAGTAGACCAACAAAAGATCTGGGGCTCACTTCGTCTTCCCAAGCTGCAGCTTCACATGTCCATATTCTTCACCAAAGGAGATGTTCAAAGGACGATAGTCGTCAGGCTGGCGACCATCGAGACGCACATTCTCGCGGAGCGCCTCGAGAATGAAGTCGCGCTCTGCGATTGAGAGTTGCGCTTCTTTCGACATCGTTGAGGGAGGTCTAGCAGCCCCGGCGCGGGGATCAGAGATGCTTTCTTTTTTGGGCCATTTTGCCCGTGCAGGCCGCATTGTAGCGATTCGGATTATTATTATCCCGAAAATCGCGCCAATAATAGCGGGAGGACAGGAGGGCGGTGAGGGGGAGATAAGGAGAATCTTAGTGCCTGAGGCGACTACATACATTGGAAAGCTGGAAGCCGTCGACGTCCCAGTAATTCCAACTTTCACTTAGCAACCACATCACAAAATGACTACAGGTATGCCATTTGAACCAAAATTTGGGAGCTTGAATAGTCATGGCTAACGTTTCTTTAGCCCACAGACCTACTTTTGACCCGGTACGACAACTTTTCTCAATACGACTCTTCATGGACACAAACTAATCTCAACAGGCGCAAGGCAAAGAAGCCCTCCGTGGCCCAGCCTACCACCAGCGACTCCTCCCTGCGCATACCCACCTGAAAGTTCGGTACGTAGAACGATACTTGGCCGAACCGCACGAGCACTGACTTTATTCTAGCCAACCCGGACAAGGCGGCGCAGCCGACGCTAATCCATCGCCCCGTGACCTTCGTGCAGAGCTCCTCCAGGCTGAGGCGGCACACTTTGCCAAGAAGAATGGCGTTCCGGTCGACCAGCCAGCTATTGCTGAATCCACAGTTCCCAAGCGACAACTTGAAGCTGCACCCGAAGATGGAATCGATGGCGACATCCAGGAAGAAGACCAAGACGCCAAACGCCGACGCATACTGGAGGAGACGCGCGACATAGATGCCGATTCAGACGAGTCAGAAGAAGACAGCAGTGATGAGGATAGGTGGATTGAACCCAGGATCTTGCGCCTAGGACGAATAAACTGACAAGCCGCAGCGACGACGAAGATGAAGCAGCCGAGTTAATGCGGGAGCTTGAGAAGATCAAAAAGGAGCGATTGGAGCAAAAGGAGAAAGAGGTATCTCGCTTTTTTACACCCTGAGTTTGATGATGGTGGCTAACGCATAACAGGAGCGTGAACGCGCACTCGAGGAAGAAGAGCAGCGAGAGGTTGATATTGCGCGCGGTAATCCTCTGCTCAATGCCCAGGATTTTAACATGAAACGGCGCTGGGATGACGACGTTGTATTCAAGAACCAGGCTCGGGGAACAGAGAACAGAGACGGCAAGGAATTTGTCAATGTATGCTTACTTTCCTTTGGCTTGTTCTCATGTCGTTGAACTAATTCGTTTCTAGGATCTTCTTCGTTCTGATTTCCACAAGCGCTTCATGGTATGTATCTGTATTCTCTATTATTTTCATACATTCACTCACCAGGTTCCCAGGGCAAATACGTGCGGTAGAATCTCCTGAGATGCTTGGGTATCCAGGTGTCAGTTCAAGAGGAATTTCGACTTAGCGAATGGATATTATCTATTGTTATTTTCAATGTTGTATCAAAAGAGAACCATAAACTGTCAAGGATTGTAAGATTGCACCCCAAAGCGACGCCCCCAGCAAAATCTCCAGAACGGTATCTTTGAATGGGTCCTCTGCGAAAACATGAAATCTACCACCAGTAATAGATTCCGATTCTGTGCAGAAGTATGGCTTAAAGGCTACTACGTAGTATAATGTCCCGTTAGGACAGCCCAGGTGACGAGTTGCTCTCCCATATGTGCAATAACCTACACGATATACGCAACTCATTTCGGTGCGTCAACCCAAGCGGGGAACACCATTGGAAGGATCTCCGGAGTCTGATCCGGCCAATTGGCCTGGATTACCTTCATAATTTCTTTGTAGACGATGCGGTTACCAGCGGGAGTCAGATGCAGACCTGTATGACGAGTGAGCACAAGACGAAGTGAATATGCACGTTTCCACACACCATCAGTGAGAAGACTAGCCAATGTGTCATTGCTCGGCACATCATGAGCCCCGATCAGAGGTTCTCCCTCCTTCCAGCCAGTGGTCTTCATGAAGGCGGACCATAAGTCCACTACCGGGACATTGAGGGATGCACCGACTTCGCACGCAGCCACTGCGTATGACTTGGTGTAGCTGGCGGTTCTGCTTGGGAATGGGGTGCCCTTTGAAGCATCAAATCCCTCCAGTTGATATTCATTCACGGGAGGAGGGCTGATCAGAATGAGTCGCGGGTTCTGTGCACGTGTCGCTGGGTGCTGAACGATCGTCTTCAGGTTCTCTTTATATTGATCCAGGGGCACATGCTGGTCGTGGTTTGGAAGGCATGCATCATTGGCACCGAAGAAGATAGTCTATTCGATGTTAGTCAACTAGTCTTTTGAATACGTTCGATATTTCAAAATTGGGCTTCCTAATAAGGAGGACTTACCATGAACCGCACATTAGCCGTCTGCGGCGAAGGGAAGAATTTATCGAAGACCTTGACGGCATGGGCAGTTGTATATCCACTGTTGCTTGTTAGCTATCTCGGTCTAGTATAGCCTTGGATGATCTTACGCCAGGCCGCGATTGATAACATCCAATCTGCGACTGTAGGCTATTTTCGTCTCCGTTAGCCTTTTGACCATGTAATATCTGGGTTTATCAGAAGAATGACTCACATTCTTGGAGTGCAGCATGGAATGCGAAACCTAACTCTTGGTTGCAGGCCATCTGAGTGATGGAGTCTCCGAAGAGAAGGAACTGGTCATACGGTTTGAATGCATCCTCATTACCCAGGGTCTCGATGACAGCCATGGTGAGGCAAGAGTATGATTACAATATTGGATTATTTTGGAGTGTGAAGTTATGGGGATCGGGGACTTATAACAAGCGTGGACAGAAAAGGAAGTGGGGGAAGTCAGTCCGTGGAGGAAAGGGAAATTGGTGGATCTCCGCTTGTGGTTAACTTATCTATGGAATGGATATATTAAGACTAGATCATGAGAACTGTAGAGTATAATCCATCTAGATCTATATATTCTCAAAGTAATTTATCCACTAATCATTTCATTGAATTGGGGGATAGGAGCCCCGCACTATACTACAGCCTGAGAGATATATACTTAGCATAACATACATATATAAACCTTTCTAGGTTTCTATTTTATATCATCTATTTTATATCAATGTAGCTACAGGAGTATAACCAGACTCCATACATACAGAATTACTAGTTTGGAACCCTCATGCACTTTAATACTGGTCCGGTCCTTCTCGGCCTTCTGGCTGTAGTAATGGTGATCTATGTCCATCGCCACCCCGTCCAATTCAACTTTTCCAATTATGTTCAACGGGATAATAAGCGAAAAACCCGGCTGAACCATCCCCGTATCCCCTGGAAACACAACTAGGCCAACTACACGTTTGCAACTTGGCATTTAACATAGATTTCCTCTACAATAACATCATTGTTAGACCAGATATAGTATATAGGTAGTAGGTTCTCACTTTGAAGAATTCTGCAAAACTCATTCTTACAACCTCATCGCAAGCATCTGTTGAGAAGAACCTTGCAATCTTCGAGTTCTTTGGCCTAGGCAAAGGCTCGGTGATTTTGCACACTTCACTCTCCCAAACTTGTGAGATGCTAGCTTTCAGTCTTTCAGAGACATCCACTGGGAGATGACCGACAGCCATGGGTCGAGGAGGGCGGAGGAAGACCAAGTCAGGTAGCAATAGTCTTGTGATAGAAAGGAGCCACGGTCGAAATGGCCTCGGGGAATTTCAAATATTGAAAACTTTCCAGTTAGACTATGGAAATCAAAATTCTTCTGGGGCTAATACAAAATCTAGGATTGAGAGGGAGAAAGCCTAGGAAGAGGAAAAGCGAGGAATGAGGAAGAGTGACCAATTTTCCCCCGGCGCCTAAAAGTGACAGGGGTCTCGCACCTACAGCTCAAGCGCGTGTGGTTACCCCGCTGATATTCGCTTTTGGATGAAAACTGGCAATTCTTTTGTTACATATGACTGTAAAGTACATATGTAAAAGCAGATGTAGCCTGTGGATTTCCGCATATACCATCATGGGTGTAGACAGTGTCGCAACCTTTTTTCCCTCCTGATCTACTTGGCTCATTGAGCAAAGTTGCCAGAGCCAGATAGTCAAAAGGCCTGGTAGACGGAATACCAAATTGCACGATGAATGCATGGATGAATATGGAAGTGAAGAGCTATGGGCTATGGGAGAAATGATATATGCTGCTATTCAAGCACAGGGACGAGCAATTTCTCTTTCGACATGGCCTCGATGCCTACAGCATACCTCGTCCTTAACGACGAGTAGCTTCTGAGCCCCGGAGCTCTACTACTTCTGTGACTTCAAGCAGCACGCGTGCATGTTGTACTTAAATACGGTAACTATGGAGTTATATATCGCGACCTCGACCCGTAAAACAAGCTTTGAGAATGTACTAATTCTCTGGACCTCAACTCAGCGTGCTAGAGCTGATATTTATATCTCCAAACCGTCACCTGAGAGAGGCTAACGCTGTTTATGCTGACACGACAAATTTCTTCGAGTCACACACCCGGCCCCTCACACGGTGGCGTAGGCGTCATAAAGAATGCCAAGAGATCAGCGTGCGATGACGAGATTGGACAGTGTCTCGCCCACCTCTTCAGCTGGGGTAGATGCACACGCAAAATGGAGATCTTGAGAATATTAGACATCCCTAACCTATATTAGTAACCCAAGGAGAAGGATACGCTTCCAGGGCTATAACACAGACGGTCTGCAGTGGTTCGTTTATCGTCAAGACCAGGAGCGGTGTCACAAGTACGGGCATACTTATGTGTTGCCGTACAATATAGGCAGAAGGGAATGCCCCTCATACTATCAAGTACTGACATTATTACCCGAGCGTAGGATGATCGAGATAAACAAGGTTCTTGCGCCTAGAGTGGCTGCATCATGTCGAATCGCAAATGTACATTCCACCGTTGAATCATTGCGCTTTGTTTCGGATCGTCGGAGAAACGCGGGGATGGTCATGAGGAATGCGACGCTAGAGATAAATCATCAAATCACTAGCACAAATGCTGAGCATTGAACATTCAAGTAAAATATCCATGGATATTAAAGAGAGGCAAAATGACTCGAGTGGTCGGCACTGGACTTTCACCTGACGCGTCTCCACCGTTAAGTCGATCATCAGTGATGGTCACCTTTTTAAGACTCGGACCCTCTTTTCTCACCGTCATCTCGTTGTGTCTTTCCTTTTTGTTTTTTCTCTTTCCGAATATAACTTGGGAAGAGGGATATGCTACCCAGTAAGTCAAGTTCCTTGATTTCTTTGCTCGTGTTAGCTCTGTCTCACCGTGTTTACGTCTGATGTGGATCTGCTTCGGTATATCTCCCAAGTGCTGCCAAAACTGACCCTTGCCAGCCCCACTGTAGATAACTGAAGCATAAAGGCTTCCCGGCGATATGCCTCGGTCCCTTCCAAAGTCCAGTTTCGCCTCGCGCGAACAAGAGGACCCTGAAAACACGCGCAGTGCACAAACAGCTCCCCCCTCCCCGAATGCCTACAGACGATCTCAAAGCTACCTCTCCGAAACACATACTGAATACCAGTCCCTCGATGCGCCCTTGGAGATTACAGAAGCAACGAGCCTCCTCGGGCCCCAAGTCTCCCGCCGACGAGCTCCGCGACGGTCTTACACCAGCACTTCCGGAGTGTCTGGCACCGGTCCGGACTCGTTGAGACATGTTCTGGCGGCTGGCAGTCTGCGACGAACGCGAAATCATAGCCGTGCTAACTCTATGGGCAGGAGGTTCAGTCGGCGAGGGAGTATAGACGGCGATTGCGAACCCTCCAGCCTTCCTCCGTCCACGAAGGACAATCTCACTGCCTCTGCATTTCTGGATGAGCGGACTTGGTACGATCAGTTTACTTCCACAGATTGGGTGCATGATAGTATCGCCGATGGAGCACGACTCCGCCTACTCCGGCAGCGGAAAGACGTGCGGGGTCGATTGCTGGCGGCCTTCGACGGTGCGCAAGGATGGATCTTGGTTGCGCTCATTGGATGCATCACCGCATCCATTGCTTACTTCGTCGATGTCACTGAAGGATCGGTCTTTGATTTGAAGGAAGGCTTCTGCACGACCCAGTTTTTCCGTAATAAAAGGACATGCTGTGAAGGGCTGGCGGCTTGCGATGCATGGCGGCCCTGGTCTAGGATCTTATCGCCATCAGGTACAGAAAGCCAGTGGATTGACTTTGCCGTTTTTGTCTTCTGGGTTGTGACGTTGGCCCTCATATCGTGTGCTTTGACTCTGCTCACAAAAACTGTTGTTCCTTCGTCCATTTCTCTTGCCACGCTTGATGAAAACCTAGCCGCCGACTCCAGTACAAGATCTGGAAATGGACTCGGTACCTCGACTTCTCCTCTTTCAGAGACAGAGACAAGTCCAGTCCATGGAACTTTGCCTAATCATCCGCCCCGTCCAGCTATGATCTACTACTCTGCTGCTGGCAGTGGAGTGGCAGAGGTCAAAGTCATTAATAGTGGGTTTGTCCTCCACGGATATATGGGACTGAAAACTCTGGTCATTAAAACCATCGGTTTAATCTTTAGTGTTTCGTCTGGTTTGAGCTTGGGCAAAGAAGGCCCCTACGTTCATATTGCCACGTGCGTGGGCAATATCTCCTGTCGTCTGTTCGCCAAGTATAACCAAAACGACGGAAAGCGACGAGAGGTTTTGAGTGCCAGTGCCGCCAGTGGTGTTGCTGTGGCCTTTGGTGCTCCGATTGGTGGTGTTCTCTTTAGCTTGGAAGAAGTCAGCTATTATTTCCCACCCAAGACCCTTTTCCGGACGTTCTTTTGTTGCATTGCGGCTACTTTGTCTCTCAAGTTCCTAAATCCCTATGGAACAGGTAAGATCGTCCTATTTGAGGTCCGGTACCTTTCAGACTGGCAGATCTTCGAGATTTTCATTTTCATCCTTCTTGGTATTATGGGAGGCGCCGCTGGTGCGCTCTTCATCAAAGCCTCGAGCCTATGGGCACGATCATTCCGTCGCATTCCAACCATTAAGCGCTGGCCAATGTTTGAAGTTTTCCTCGTTGCGCTATTTACGGGTCTTGTCAGTTTCTGGAATCGATACACCAGCCTTCCCGTCACCGAACTTTTATTTGAGCTAGCTTCTCCTTGTGAATCAGATGTGGAAAATACGGGCCTGTGCCCTCGCACCGACGGCATTCTTGAAATTGTTCAGGACCTGCTGGTGGCGTTTGTCATCAAGAGTTTCTTGACCATTATTACATTCGGCATCAAAGTGCCTGCGGGCATCTATGTGCCATCTATGGTTGTTGGTGGCTTGATGGGGCGGATTGTTGGACATTTGATCCAGTATTGGGCTCTCAGACATCCCACCTTTTTCTTATTCGACTCTTGCCCTGCAGTTGCTGGAATCGAGTCGTGCGTGACTCCAGGGGTCTACGCATTGATTGCTGCTGGAGCGACCATGTGTGGCGTGACACGACTGTCAGTCACTTTGCCTGTGATCCTGTTCGAACTGACAGGAAGTCTTAACCACGTGCTTCCATTTTCCCTGTCGGTACTCTGCGCAAAGTGGACGGCGGATGCCATTGAGCCTCGCAGTATTTATGTGAGTTTGGGCCTCCGTCTGGTAATCCAATCCCGACGTTATACTGATTGAAACCAGGACCTCTTAACCGATATGAACTCCTATCCTTTCCTTGACAGCAAACTCCAACCGACTACCGATGCCGAGTTGGGAGACATAGTCCGACCAGTGCGGAAAAATCGCATAATCGATATCTCTGCATCGCCATTCTTACCAGCCACAGAGCTCCGTTTGAAATTGGAATATCTGCTCATGGCAGGAGAGCTGGACAGCGGGCTTCCCATTCTACGTGACGGTGTCCTAGCCGGTCTGATCCCAGCACCGGATCTTGAGTACGCACTGGATACGCTGGGCGACGAAGAAGAAAATACGATATGTCTGATGGCTATGGATGCTTCCACGGCCATATATGACAGCGATAACGAGGAGGCAGGACAGGTGGATTTCAGTCGATACATTGACCCTGTAAGCTTGGTGAACCTCCTCAATATCTCGGGCCATACTAATGTGTTTATGCATAGGCTCCAATCGCTCTTGATGTCCATTCCCCTATCGATTTGGTCTATCAATGCTTCGCCAAGCTGGGTCTTCGTTACCTCTGCGTTACCCAGAACGGGAAATACGCCGGTCTGATACATAAGAAAGCATTCGTGAAATTCATGAAGGAGAATAGCGACTAGCCCGTGAACATTGATCTACCATTACACTGTTTTCCATTTGCATTTTCGGGCGTTGTCGAGGCATTCTGATTCACCTTTTTGCATAGCATTGCAAATCCTCTCTCTTCATGTCTATCTATTCTGTGGGCTCACCCAACCGGCATTGGCATACTGTATAATGTGGTTGTACATACTTGTTTTTCTTTTCGGCTTGGACAGACACGCACAAAGTACGAATCTTTGAACATATTTGACTAGTCAATTATCCACCGCGGACCATATCCCACCCATGTCTAAGTCAATTTTTCAAATCCAACCATCTGAACCTCGACATCCCCGTCCGCCTTCCACTCGCCATCAACCTCCTCCCCAACCCACTCGGAAACCTCCCCAGGGCTAACAGCCCGCCACCCATTCTCCTCGTGAAGCCCATCCAACGGGAAGAATGTATCACATTCAAACGAAGCAGGCGCATTCACAGCCCCTTTCCGCACAACATTCGTCATAACAACCCTAACAGGCCGACCACGCAACTCCTCAGCACCCATATTCAACGTGGCATTATAAATCTCCGCGCCACCAATAACGAAAATCTTGCCCAGCGTCCCCTGCGCCCCATACACAGAGTCCAACTGCTCCAACGCCGCGCCCAAACTCGGCGTAACGATCGCATCCGTCATCGGAGCCACCGGAGCAGCTTCCTTGGGCGGGTCAAAAGTCTCCTTTTCCGCATTTGTAGCCTGTGCCTGAGCGGCCTTGGCCGCAATCTTTCTCCTTATATTCCCCAACTCCGTGGCTACGCTCTCGCGAACAGACCCGGACGTGTCACGCGTGATCACAACGTTAATCCGCCTCGCGAGCGGGCGCAGCGAGGCTGGCACTGAGTCGTACGTCTTCCGGCCCATGATGATCGCGTTCGTCGTGCCTGGGCTCGGTGGGAGGGACGTCACGCGTGCGAAGAATGACATATCTGTTTTTATGCGCGGCCATGGGAGTGTCCCTTTTAGGCCGATGCCTAGGCGCGTGATTTCGTCTTTTGTCGTTGTTGACGCGGTGCGGATCGGGGTCGTCGCCACGATTAGCGTGAGGGAGGGGAGGGGGTGAGGGCTGTGAGGTGGCATTTTGGGTTGCGGAGTGATTGTGGCTCGCAGTTTGATTTAAAAATGTTGTACTCAGAGACAGGCAGTGTGATCTTTGGATTGTGAGGAGGATATTGGATGGTGGAGGTTCGCGTCGCGAGGGGAGAAATCGTTATCGTAATTGGGCTGGCGGCTTATCGCCCCGCACTATATGTCCCCCCTGTAGGCCTGTTGTGAGCTTGATATGGTCGTTTTTCTTTAGGGGAGTATTCATGTTATGGTCGACCGAATAGATTGCAGAAAGCTTCGGGGCCTGGTACAACAGTCTGTCGATTATAGCTCAGCCATTATGTTCACAGTTACAAAGATGGGCACAAAATGTCGGTTGCCCCATACCGGGCGCGATTTGATGATATTGTGACAAACGAGAGGGAGAAATCACACTATTGGTCTGGTCTAACTTAGTGAGCGAAGTAGCAACGTAATTGTAAAAATGGGGTTGAATGCAATATCTAAGGTAACCAAAATGCGCCATAGTACCAGTCGAACGCCAGACTCAAGGAGCCAAGTGGGTATCACATGCGAAACAGCTCCAAGAGCCAACGACCAAAATGCTTCAAAGAAGATCCTCAGGAAGCCACCGTTATTTATCAGATTTCTCGGGCTTCTCGGACTGCTCAGGGTTCTCGGGCTCACCCGACGACGGCATCAATAATCCTCTGTCAAGAGCCTTCTGGATGGCCTTCACATCCTCCTCGAGCTTCTCACGCCGCTGGACATCTCGCTCGTCTTCGCCGAGGGTATCGAGCTTCCCGAAGAGCCAAAGCTCCTTCATGAGGCGGTGCAAGGCAAGTAGGTCCTCCGCAGAACGGGTCTAAGGTAGAAGAATGTCAGTGTCGCGCTTTGGCATGGATTTGGAAGCTCAATTGCATTCTTCTTGGGAAGGGGAGAGGTTGGCTGGGTAAGACTGGGGCGGCGCATATCAACATACCAGCGCGGTAGATTCGACATCGATTTGGAATGCTTCAACAGCAGCATCAACATGACTGGTGCCGTCGAAGTTCTTGGCAGCAATAGCGATGATGTTCTCGAACCGCTGCAGCAGCTGCGAAATATCATAGTCGACGCGATCTACCGCAATGCATCGTTAGCGGAAAGGCATTGAGGGAGGACGTAGCTGCAGTGGTTCACATCAAGTACGTACCAAGCAACTCCTTGGCAGTTGGACGGGAATCCATTGGAGCGTTCTTTTTTTTGTCTTCAGATGATGAGGATAAATCCGAAGAAGAAGCGGGATCCATGATTAATAAGATGTGGGGCGAGTGGATGCGGGGAGCAAAGCCGACATCCCCGAAGTTACAGCATTATTTGGCTCCAACTCGATTGTCACATAATTCAGTCTGTTTGTCCTGTCAAGATAAGTGGTTGAATTGCTTTAAAGGGATGCTTCTCGATCTCAACGGATATGTCAACTAACTGCTGCATAACCTTCTCTTTCTGCTGGGGAGTGGTCGCCTGCCAATCTAGAGATCTCCTGTTTGACTAGCGTTTCTGTAAGAATATATAGTCAATTGTAAGCGAGTTTCCTTGATCGTATCACATGTCCAATCAAGATTTTGAGCATAGGAATGCAAATACACTGTTTGGGAGTAAGTCATAGTGGTAGCTCTGGAGCTATGCTTCAAAGTATGCAATCACGGACCTTCCGTTGCCGCGATGAGGTTCTTACGAGGCGAAAACGTGCGAGCCGTTTATCATCAAAGGTGAGCTCCGCCTGGCAGTTCTGGTTCCATATCATAGCAGACAAGCTCTTACGAGTCAAGTGAACGGTGTACCTAGGTACGAGAGCTAATCTCTCTAAGCGTCGATTAGGGTTTAATAGCTAGTGCACGTTTTGTTAAGCTTGCAGGCGGTGTGGAACTGTAATAACCTTGGGATAGCCTTCTATACGTAACTAGCAATACTGACATGGTTGCTAAACAGATACAAATTAACAAGTAAGTACTTATAACTATATGAACCTATGGCTCTGTAGGTTGCGTCACACAGCAAAAGTGCGGCATTTAGCCGTCAAATATACATAGCAATGCATGGATCCTAGGAGGTAGCAGCACTAATCTTTAAAATGTATCCTTATTCAATCGGATGGACCATACACTCCGCAGTCACTCTTTCAGCAACATGGGAAGATGCCGTGATATTGAACCGAGACAGCATGGCACCAACCAGGAGTGCTTATTGAATATCAAACCTCCAAATGTCAAATCCAGTAGTCTAACTTGACAGACATCTCGTCTCTCTACCAACCATGCACTTCGGTGTCTCCCACACAGTAGACTTCTCCTAGCACAAGCATTAGGCTCACACGGTAGTGTGCGAATAAGCAGGGGTGCAAATTGCCTGGCATCGTGTCCCTGGACATTATGCATATGTACTAGTGTGTAGAAGTACGGAAATATGTATAGACCGTCATGGAGTAGTGGTGTAGACAGCCTTCAAGGTTGGAATGGATGGAAGGTCTAGGCCTATGATCGTCCTTTTCGACCTCCACCATCCACTCCGCCTTACTCTCCGCCCAGCACTGCGTCACCGCCTACCATAACCTTCGGTGACAATGGTCTCTCCCCAGACTATCACTCCTCGCAATAATATTGCTTTCCTCCCGTTGCTAGGTTTGTCACCTGGGACCTTTTTCCTTCGTGTCTGCATCGTCCTGTCAAGGCCTCCATAATAACAATCTTGTGTTACTTTGCTCTCGATTTCGCATTACTTCACTTGCACTTCGACGGCCAAATCATCCGTAACTCAACTTGTGCCTGGCGCATCACATACCCTACGTCACCGAAAACTTCGTCGTCTTTCTGTGAACTTGGAATTGTCCGTGAATTGCCTGAAATTCAACCAAGAATCCCTCATTACGATACCAACCATCTTGAAACGCGTCCCCTTCATCTGTGCCAATACCACCGTCTATCTTCCTCAAACCCGCTGCTGGATGTTCTGACCAGGTCTCCAGAAATTTGACCTTCGAAGGCAGGGTGGACGGCCGGTAGGCCGTCTCACAGATCGAAGGCAGCAGGAGATATTGGAGAAAAGGTGCCGAATTCAAGTGACGTCTTTGCGACCCTGCTCTTAGGGCGGACTATTCCGACTACCCCGCGTCACTTTTTCTGCTTTCTTTTTTTTTACCTTGAATTCTGAACACTAGACTGGCGATGGATGCGCAGTATCCCTTTGCTTCCCGCGACGACATTTGGCGTGTCTTTGACGAGTTGAAGGAGCTCCACATTGCCCAGTACGAGCAAGGAGAACGGCTCGCGCAACTGGAGCGTCGCCGGGACGACGATGCTCGACTGAGGAGTCCTTGGTGTCCTGTGTCACCATTTCCGCACTCGGTTGGGGCGATCACTCCAGGTAGTCCACCTCTGTCCTCCAGGATCAATTCGCCACTTACCAAGACATCCCTTCCAGACCCCACTTTCCACTCGCCCCCGGATGCTTTCAAAGGATTCGATCAAGGTCACCATTCCGCAATGGCCAGTTCTGCTGTGGGGTTTGATGCCGAGGACGAGCCTAGACGGGGTGCGTCGCGAGCCAACAGTGTCCGCTTTGACGAAAGTGCTATCCACGGGAACGGCCAGGCTAGCCGTTCCAGCAACGACCTTCCTTTGCGGACCGGCAGCGGCTTGAGTACCCACCCGCTTCTTGAACGGACATTTTCTCACCAATCTGATGGACGATTGAGTTCATCCGGTCACTCACACCATTCCGCTCGGACTAATAGCCTGCGCCTTAACACCACTCGGCTGCTTGGTACTACGCCTATCGAATCCCCTTTGATTCCCCCTCCTGGACTCTTCTTGCTGGGACCGGTCCCGTCCATCATTCGGTGCTGGTTGACTGATACTTTCACTAATGGCTCTCTCCTCTACGCAGCCGTTTGCTCGGGCTCTTACGTCTCGACTTTGGGTCTCTCGATGGTCCGCGAATTTGGGATGGAGAACATGGTCGTGCGCGAGAGCGATGTTCAGTACATCAAACTTCCGCTGTATCTTCCTGAAGCACTTATTCACCCATCTTCGTCGCGCCCCGGGACCCCTACTCACCAAGTTCCTACTGTGACCATCCGCTTTGTGGTTCGAGAGATAGACGTCGGCGATAACTCGATTCAGATCATCATTGGAAGTGACGTGATGCGTGCCCACAATGCTGATATTTTATTCTCGCAAGATAAACTGATCATGGTGGACGACGAACACAACCGCGTGTCTGTCCCCCTCGTGCGTCCTGAGAAGGACTCCGTGTTTAAGTCTCTTTGCACTTCTCCTGGTACTCCGAATTCTGGAGACATACTGGGACCTCCTACTAATGGAAATCCATCCGTTGGTATCATTGGCCGGCCTGCCAATGTTCAAGGAAAACCGGCCTCTGCGCCTCCATCGACTCGTCTGTCTGGCAGCGAGAACATCGATCCTCACAAGTCCCACATACAGAACACCCAGGCTCATGCTCACGTTGCAGCTGAAACGCGCCCGGCGTCTGCCAATCCACCGACTTCTGAGCCTACTAAAACCGAGGATATCTCTTGTTGGGGCGGCCCATGGCGCCGCGATGCCAAGAAATCCACCAACACAACGAAAACGTCCGATAAACGCGAGATGAAGGTCTTCCGCACCGGAAAATCAACCAGCCATGCGAACTCCACAACTTCGGCCTCGGCTCCTGGCAGTGCTACCACTGAGCAGGCCAACAAGTCGTCTCTGCCCATTACTTCTGTCCACCATCCAACTACCCCTTCGGACAAGCATGGTACGCTGAATCCCGTGGGTGGTGCATCGGCGTTTGGATGGCTCAACCCGCCCCATCACAATGCCTCGTCCTAGATGAAACAGACTAGGCTTGGCTTTTATGTTTGATTACATCCGAATCTGAAATGATCTCGGTTTTTAGGGCATGATACGGAAGGGTTGGAATTCCCTAGGAATCAGAAAAAAGTGAAAAATGGATCAGGCGCTGGGTTCCAAGGCTGCCAACCGAGAAGGGAAACCACTTTTCTTTTTTAGCTTGTAGTATTGCCGGATTGATAGCAGCGGACAGGACCTACCAAGTAACAAAAAAAATGAGGAAAAAATGATATGATTACTGCTTAATTCACGTGGCTAATGCCAATATCAACTAGAAAACCATCTCACTTAGTATATAGACCTCCTCATCTAGGTATTCATTCATACGTACCTTGCTAGTCATCCGTCCACGGGTCTACCTAGGTAGGTGGACCCTAGGAAAGACTAATAAAAAGACTGATAATCAATAGAGCAAGCCGTCCAAGGTCTGGAGGGCTTTCTGGAGGGCTCCCAAAAATTATCAAGAACACTACATATGTACATGTAGTTTTCAGTATCCAAGTCCCCTTTGATACATGTCCACGGGTAGTGCTCAGATCATATGCCTTTGGTAAGCAACAACCGGGAACAAAGAAGCTAAATAACAACATTGAAAGCCCAATTGTCACAGGGTCAAGGATACTTTTCCTTTACAATTCCTCCTTTTAACATCACTGCCCAATTTGATATCGATCTAGATCTAGAACAATTGCCCATCGAGAGCAATAGCAAGGGCACGTCTGCTAGATCTTCCAGCTGAACTAATTCTACTCATCGTTCACTACCTACAAATGGACACGAAGCAGGTACCACTACTATTCGATGAACTTGGAGATGATAACGACGACTCTGATGATGACAGCAACTATGATGATGACGACGACTATGCGCTTGACCCTTCACCGAGAGTCAAGCATCTTCATGCTTTCCTGCTCGCCAACTATCGCCTGAATAGTCTTCTACAGCCACTATTGTATCGTGATATATTTGTCCGTGGATATGTTCGGCTGCAGCAGCTAAACCGGAGTCTTGAGACAAACCCGAGTCTCAAGCAACACATCATCTCGGCTACCATTGATTGGGGGCACATTTATGACATCTATCCTCTTTTCTGATCCACCAACATACGAACCTTTACTATTCACGGCTTCGGAGGCCATTGAAATTTGAAAATTTGGCACTTCGTCCGACGAATGTCTAAGGTTGAGTGCTTGTGGGGCGCATGAGGAGGCTTTAGCCGCTGTATTAAGCTGGCCGGTAGGGTTGAAAACACTTCACTACGATGTCGACCAACATGAGTTGGGAAATCATGGGTTCCGGTCACGCTGGACGTGTGCTGCTCTGTGCGCACGCTGCAACGGCAAAAAGCAACATTGGTAGAACTGACAACGACAAGGACGTGGGATGAAGTAAAACTGGACACTTGAGCTCGTATGGATCTGAGCGAGTTCAAGTCCCTCAGAAGTCTACATATTTACCACGTCTTTCTCTGTGGATTGCATGGTCCGTACGGGGTCTGGAAAGGCTTACCCCACAGTCTGGAGGTGTTGGAGATCTTCTACGACGATACATACTACACTCAATTCTTACATGAGAATGATGATTCGCCGCACGATCCTTTTGTTCTTGATTTGATCAATCACAAGAGGGCGCATCTTCCATATTTGCACACGGTGACCATCCGCTCGTCGGAAAAAGTCGATGATGCCGAGACAGGGGAGGAACTGCCCGTGGGACTCTGGACACTGCCATCGCTCACGCGCGAAGCTGAGTCCGCTGCTATAAAGTTGAACGTGGAACTGGGATACCGAGATGGTCCAACTTTGAGAAGACTGATGTCTTCAAGTCACTAAAAATCAGTTAAAACAGACAGTCTATTCAATGAAGTGATGGTGAGATGTATACGTATCACAATGCATTCCTTCCTAGGACCCCCAGTACAGAAAGTCAAGAGCCAAGTCCTATCAAATCAAATCTTCGAAAAAACCCCCAAAGCCCCCTTCGTAGTCTCTTTCGTCTCCTTAACAAGCCCACTAACAGCCCGGAACGCCTCATGCGCAGCATCACCAAGAATCTCAAAAAGCACACTCTCACTACTCGTAACAACAGCCCCGGCATCCCTCAACCTAGCAAGCGCAATGCCCCTCTCCTCGGGGTTAATACTGCTAACGCCATCAACGAGGATGTAAACGCGGTGACCGCGCTCGAGGAGATCGAGCGTCGTCTGCGTCACGCAGATGTGCGTCTCGATCCCGACGATTACCACGTCGAGGGGTGCCGAGTCTGGCGCTGGGAGCAGTTTCTCGATCTCCGGGGTTATCATTGAGAAGAGGGTTTTGTCTACGTCGGCGCGGATGTGTGGGCCGTTGAGGTGTTGTTGGAGTTCTGGCACGGTTTTGCCGAGTTTGGCGCGGTTTTGAGTTGTTATAAACACGGGGATTTGGAGGGTCGAGGCTGCCCGGAGCATCTTTTCTGTTGTTGAGACCCTGTTTGGTTGGTTAGCTTTTTTGGGTTCGATTAGTTTTGGGATATGGGATTCGTACAATTTGGGGAACTCGTAGATTCCATTGCGGAATTTGTCTTGGATGTCGCAGATGCTGTGGTAGAGATGGGGTTGTCAGTTCTGATCTTGAGGCTTTGTTCTTTTGATACTGGGCGATCTGCATACAAGAGTGCGGGATTGCCTGGTCTAATGTTAGTGAATTGAATTGTGAAAATTGGAAGTTTCTTACGGATTCGAGATGCCCGCGTGGGAAGAGCCATGATTGCGGCGATTGGTAGTTCCTAAGTGAGGATTGATAGATTGGGCTATAATGTAGAAGTAGTAGAAGTAGTAAAAGTAGAAGAAGAGAAGAATTGGTGGGGGACGCGGGGAATCGGAGAGCAGTCGGAGATGCGGGGAAGCAGCCGAGGGAAAACGGGCTGGTATTTGTCTTTGGTCTCTGTATTGTAGCTTTCAATCAATTACGGTCACTTTTGCACTTTCGTATGTACACATTGTTCGTCTACTAATCTAGATATCTATAGTTTCACCTCATGCACCTTGGCCCGGCCGTCGAACCAGCTATCATCACCGTTTGCCGCCGCTGTGCGGATGGCGTAAAGCTCGTCGACAAACGCCGGGACGAAACTGCCTGGGCCGCGAACATACTCTTTGGCCGCGGCGTTCTCCGCCGCGATCTCATACATGAGAATTCCGGACAGCACTGCGAGGAGTCTGTCGGAGCGGTGGGCACTCAAGAAGCAACCGGAGATTGTACCGACGGCACAGCCAGTCTGTAAATTTATGTTAGCTATATACCAGAAAGAAGGATTTCGAGAGGATGCGTACTCCGGTCACTTGGCCCAGGTATGGGTGGCCGTTCTCGACGGCAATGACCCGCTCGCCATCGCTCAGGTAGTCTGTTGCTCCGGTCAATAGCACAACGTTTCCTATATGAAATTAGAAAAAGGAGTTACAGCTATAGAGTCTCAGGCTACTTACGCTCCCTGCGAGCCAGGTCCCGAGCCAAGGTAGCTTTTTGGTTGCCGTCAAGGGTACTTGGTCCGCTATCGACGCCGCGCTGTTGAACAGCACTGCTACCCCAAACTTGGCGAATCTCGCCCTCGTTGCCCTTGATCAGATCAAAGTAACCCCCGGCCATAAGCTGAGTCACTGCGTTGCGGCGAATGTGTGTCGCAGCCGCACCGACTGGGTCGTAGACCACTGGGTTGCCCCGATCATTGTATGCCTTAATGGCTTTTAGGTAGTTTGAGACACTCTCGCTAGTCAATGTACCCATGTTGATCAGAAGGGCGCCATCGAATTTGCACAAGTCCGTGGCTTCATCGCCATACGGGGACATGATGGGAGATGCGCCACTGTACGATTGTTAGCATGACAAATAGCCTCGCTAGGTACAATTTCCTTACATGGAAAGGGCGACATTGGCCACAAAGTTCGACACAACGAAATTGATCATGTTGTGTACGAGAGGATGCACCTTGACCATATTACGGATGATTTGGGGCACCTTATTCAACAAGGCCTCAGCCTCGTTAGCACGAGGAGGATTGGAAGCCTGCGCAAACCGGGGAGGGTTTCGGATGAGGTTGACGAATTGCTCGGCAGATGCTTTAGGGTCGTCGGCTGCCACGATGGCGCTAACAATCGCCACTCCATCCAGTGCTTTTTTTGGTGACTGTGACTGATAGAGCACTCGTTGCACGTTGGAGTGGTTGATGCCGCCGATCGAAACAGTGCCTATGGCGGAATCTTTAATGGCATCCAAGATGACTTGAGTACCTGCCGTCCCGATGACTGACTTGGTATTGGTTTTCCTATGACAATTAGCCTCTGTTGCTGGATGGTGGGATACTGGACATGCGGACTTACGTCGGGGTGGCAAACATGGTACCAATTCCGATATAGTCGGCGCCATCGGCGGCGGCTTTTCTTGCCTCCTCGACCGAGGATGTACTGATACCAATGATTGCATTCTCTGGAAGAAGCTTCTTTGCTTCCATGAAGCCTATATTTGAAATTAGTACATGTATCTTTGTAGCATTGTAGGAACGAACTCATATCATCTTGACCTAGATGCACACCCTCCGCACCAATGGCAAGAGCCACATCAACCCGGTCATTGATCAGAAGAGGCACCTTGTATTTCTTGGTTACCTGGTGTAGTTTCCGGGCAGTTTCCACCTGGACACCAGTGTCGTTGGTCTTGTCCCGGTATTGCACCACCGTCACGCCTGCAGGGGTTAATTGAATAATTGGCAGAAGGCTGGAGCAGCACTCACCTCCTTGCAAAGCACTTTCTACCACTGTACATAAATCCCGCCCCTTGAGAATGGCCGGGGTCGAATCCGTGACCAGATAGAGCGACAGATCTACGGGCATGGTGTCTTGGCCTGCCGGACAAAAGTGGCAAATTCCGGAGTAATAGATCTGGGGTCGTTTTGACAAAGAGAATTAAACCGAAATGAAGAGCGGATCGACAGGGTCAGCAGGCTACACTTGTACAACACAAAACACCGTACTTCAGTGTCTGAAGGAGCCCTGGAGATTGCCGGGTATCGTTGTGTGGCTGTGGTGGGGTCTTGGAAGATTCGGCCTGTACTCGTCCGGGTGTATAAAACATTGTAAAATCCACTCATATCACTTATATATGCTTCAATATTGTCAAGGATTTATTTTGACACACAAATAGACTTCAAGTCAAGAGCTCTCTTCAAAATCACCGTTCTGGGAATACCTTGGATCTCCTATGTACGATATTCAACTGCCAATGGTCCTTTATACTCCGAGTTATTTCCGGCACGTGCTCGCTGACATAACCGTGATTTGTCAAATTTTGCTTTTCTTCTTCCTCTTCTTCTTCTTCTTCTTTCCTCATCAACACACAAACACTTCACAGGCATCGACTTATTTTCGAAGCCTTTATCTATCTACCGCGTGGACTTGAGTTCTGCGCTTATCACATTGTTCATAACTGGTTAGTTCGGCCTCGCCACCATCACTTGCCACCGTCCGCCAGGTCTCCGACCTCTGACTCGGATTCCCCAAAGAACTTCGATCGTTCCCAGAAAGCAACACATCGAGAAGTTTCCCGCGGACTTGTCTATGTATTCGTCCTCCGTCCAAAATTTCGAACATAACCTGCCGCTCAAGCTGCAAACGTTTCGCGCGCCGAAACCTTGCAGCATACACCTCCGATCCTGTGGCTGAATACCCCGGATCTTCCCTCGATTTCTTGTGACTTTTCCCTAAAGAAATCACCTTCTATACACGAAAAAACCAACGAACTTGACACGCATGTCTTGTCTCGTCAACAAACTCATCGTCCAGAATCCTCCCAGCTTTCCTTTAAGCAAGCCCACTGTTCCATCCTCGTGAACTAACCGCTCAATTAAACCGTCATCATGGCTACCGTCAACATTCGCCGGGATATCACCGATCCCTTCTATCGCTACAAGATGGAGAAGCTCCAGGCTAAGGTCGAGGGCAAAGGTAACGGTATTAAGACCGTTGTCGTCAACCTGAACTCGGTTGCCCAGTCCCTCAGTCGGCCTCCTGCTTATCTCATCAAGTACTTCGGATTTGAACTTGGTGCCCAGGCCAACGCTAAGCCGTCTGACGACCGTTGGATCATCAACGGTTCTCACGACGCCCCCAAGCTCCAAGATTACCTCGACGGTTTCATCGCCAAGTTTGTGCTCTGCAAAAAGTGCAAGAACCCCGAGACCGACGTCATTATCAAGGACGATAAGATCACCCTGGACTGCAAGGCCTGCGGTCAACGCTCAGATGTCGACCCTCGCCTCAAGCTGAGCACCTTCATTGTTCGCAACAACCCCAAAGGTGGCAAGAAGGAGAAGAAGAAGTCCCGCCGCGAGCGAGAGAAGGAGAAGGCTGCCAATGGCGAGGAAGCCAGCCCTGGCGACAGCAACAACTCCGAGAATGGCGAAGATGGAGATTATGCCATCGAGGCTAACAGCGACGATGAAGTGACCCGTCAGGCCCAGGCCATCGAGGCCGAGACCGAGATTAAGGATGATGAGTGGGCCGTTGACGTCTCCGAGGAGGCCGTGAAGGCTCGTGCCAAGGATCTCCCCTCGGACCTGAAGCGTGCCCTTGTCATTGAGGATGGTGATGATGAGGGAGCTGATGGACCCTCGTCCTACGAGCAGCTAGGCAGCTGGATCGTTGACACCGCTTCTGAGAAGGGTGGTGTTACCAACGTCACTGACGTTGAGATCTACATGAAGGCCAAGGAGTTCGGCATTGAGAGCAAGCACAAGACTGTTGCCGTTCTGGCACAGAGCATCTTCGACGAGAAGATCGCCAAGCAGATCGAAGGCCGCGCTGGTTTGCTCAAGAAGCTGATCACCTCCGATCGCCATGAGAAGGCTTTCCTCGGTGGTACCGAGCGCTTCGTCGGCCAGGACCACCCGGAGCTTGTCGCCCAGGTTCCTGCCATCCTGCTGGGCTACTACCAGAACGACCTTGTGTCTGAGGAAACACTCAAGGCGTGGGGTGCCAAGACGAGCAAGAAATACGTGGACATCTCGACCAGCAAGAAGATCCACAAGGCTGCTAAGCCCTTTATCGAGTGGCTCGAGAATGCCGAGAGCGACGAGGAGAGTGAAGAAGAGAGCGAGTAGACGGTAAACGGCGAGTAGACGGTAAACGTTGTGCACGCTGTTTTGTATCCTTGGTTACTTGCTATCTGCGTCCATTCTTATATGGTTTTTGGACCTGCCCATCTCGCATGGACTGATTAACTCGGTTGTCATTTTAGTTTAGCTCACCAATTGCCACTCCTTTACAATGAATATCAATATGGTATCATCTATCCAATTCATCCATACCAGCAGCACTAAGGTACCTGTACAAGTGAAGTAGAGCAAAATGAAATGTAGTCATGTCTCATGCTATGCAATGATATCAACAACGGAAAGCAAGAATTAGAACACTAACTCAGCAAGTCTAACTTGCTCACCATCGCCATTGAAAGTAGGGAGATTAGTAGCAACACCACAGTTCCTAGCATTGCCTGTAGTAACCACATCCGCTCTCAAGCGATACCGCATAAAGACAAACCATGTCAAGTCCACATTCCAAGCCTCCATCGCCCGAATCGCATCCTCAACAGACATCATACCTTCACCAGACGCAGCATCATTCACGGACATAGAAGTCCTCGACGAAATGAAATAATACTCAGGCCCGACAAAGAGCGCAATCCAGCCACAAAGCATCTCGCAAATCCTATCACCCACTTCCAACGGTAACCGGACATGCGAGAGAACCGTGATAAAGAGGGAGACCAACGCACGCCACAGACGGTGGTGGAGCGTGAAGAATCTCGACCCCGGCGTCGACGGCGAGAGCGAAAGTGACGAGGACAGGGCTAAGTGCAGAGTGGACGCCAGATCTCCTGATTCAGCGGCAGTCGCAGTCACAGTCGTAGCCTGGGACCTGGCACGGCGCTCGTTCGCGGCCTCTGCGTCGGCGCGCACTTTCTCCCACACGCGGCGGTACAGCCGGTCCCAGCGGGAGAATTCGGCTTCGACGCGCGTGGCCATGAAATCGCCTGCGCCTTTGCACATTGCTTCGATGGCCTCGCAGGCTGTTACCGTGACGAAGGTCTCTTCTTGGTGGTCTGGGGCTTCGGGCTTGCGAGCTGATTCTGCAGATGGGCTGGCGATGAGGGATTTGGATGTTTCGTTTGCTTGTGATGAGGGGAAGATTATTCGGCTTGCTACTGTGGGCCAGAGCTCGTTGATTAGAGGGAGGAAGCTGGTTTCGTTTTGGGATAGAGCGGGTAGGATGTCGATGAGGATTGCGAGGAGGGAGCGTCGGAGGTAGGGAGATGGTGAGGTTAGGTGGGATGGGATGGATTTGACGATGTGGAGGAGGAGAGCATGCGTTTTGGTGAGCGGCTTTTCGGCGTCTTCTGGTTCTTTGGGTGGTGGTAGTGGCGGCTCGTCCGATTCGGCTTTGTTCAGAAGCTCTTCAATGGACGGCTCTGGAGGAGGTTTGTCGTATGTTTCTGACCATGGCTTTTTGGGATGGGGGATTTTGCCATCAGCATCTGCTAGTTCATCCTCAGCACGCCGTTTGGCTCTGCGGTTGGCAATGTCCGCGGCAATGCTTGAGATTGAGAGATTCTGGTATTGAGACTTGCGGGTATCGTGGGAGCCATTCTCTTTGCCCTCGTCGATTGTGAGCAAAGATGGCTTCTTCGCCCCTTCCTCGACGACTGCAGCTAGCGTTTTGAACATCATTTCAACGAGTTTTGGATAACCGTGGTATAGATCTAGGACACCAAATACAGAATCAACCAGATCATCCAGATAAGGTATCAACCGGGCACCGCAGAGCTTGACCATCATAAACAAGACCTGTGGTGGATAAGGTGATACGTCAAAGTTGTTAAGTTTCAAGGCCACCGAGTTCACCAAATAGTCCACGTTTTCAATGATCATAGTACTCGTGTCTGGGTAGTTGCAGGCATTGGTTAAGATATTCAGGCATGTCATGGCGTGGCGTTGAAGGCTAGGGTTCTGTGATGCCAACAGCTGTAAAGTTGGGTAGAGCGCGTCCATGAGTTCAGGTCGGAAAGCCTCGCCAAGTTGTTGAGCTTGGAGAGCCACGGATTCCAGAGCGAGTGCTGATGTACGCCAGTCACCTGTTCCATCGATTGACATTTCGTTCAGCATATTTAACGAGATATAATACAACTCTTCAATCATGCCGCCACGGCCAGTTGACGAGACGGACCCCTCAACATGATCAAGAGAGATAAAATCGTAAAAGTTGGCTGTTGCCGTAGTGCTGTCCCGCAAGAAAGTCATCGCCAACCAGAAAGGTGCAATAGCGGAATCACTTGATGTCGTGTGCATACGGTTGACAATCGATCGAGTGATCTCATTTCCAGACTCAGACAAGTTCAACCTAGTAATCATTGACCGTAGATCTTTGAGAGTTTGTTGCTGGCTTTGGTGTTCTAAAATAATCGGTGGAAACACCTTGGATCTAGCATCAATGCTGAGCACTTCCCAGTTGAAGTCAGCATCCATTGAGGCCAACGGCTGGAGAGAATTGGTGTTCTGTTTGACAACAGCACCAACGCTATCACATAGGCCGGATGCCAAACCGCTCGTAAGCAAATCTGATCCAGACTGAACCTGGGACAGGACCTGAAAGACGGTAGAGATCTGACGAAGGCCCCACTGCTTAGCAGTCTCGTCGTTGCCTTGCATGATTCGAGGGAAAGAAGCGAGCCAAGTATGCAGCGATTCTTTTAAAGAATCCAACACTGTAGGGTATGTTGTGGCAAGATGAGTTACGTCTTTGTAGGCTCCATTCACTCCCTCGTCATCTTTATCTGCTAG